CTGGCCCTCAGCCAGGGTCAACCCTCCACATTTTGTCAAGCCTCTCCGTAGCACAGGTCCAGAAAAAGATGAGCAGGATTGCTTTCAATATTCCGTGAAATTCTCTGCAGCTATTTTTCTTCATCCAACTGCAATAAACATCAGCCAGCTTTTATATTTTTACCTTTTTCTCCTTAAAAAATATCACTGAACAAAAAAATCAGTTATATTTATGAGGAGAACTGAGCTACACAGTATGCAAGCAATAAAAAGAAATATTTAATATTCTAAGCATTATGAGCTGTAGCGTACCTGTTTGCGCACGTATTCTACGAGTAGCTCCAGATGCCGAGGGTCCTCACAGTTCCTGTTAAAAAGGTTTCTCCAAAGAGCTGCTGCCAGAACATGATCATCAGACAAGATTCCCTAAAGGAAGTACAGAGGGGGATTAAAAACTGCACGTGAAGAGGGTCTGAACACACGACAACCACATTACTCTACTTGGCAAGTGACAATTATTAGCTGTCTCAAAGCCTACAGCTGCTATGGACTGTACGTATGAAAAGGCATCAACATCAATCTTTCCCAGAATGGAAAAACAACCCTGGCCTTACATTAATTTACAGAGCAGCCTGTAACAAATATTCTGGCAAGTTAATTTGAGGGGAAAAAAAAAAAAAAGGCTCAGAGTATTCCTAATGTAGAAGCTGATAATTGCATTTCTATGTTATGAAATCTTCACCATAAAAATGTTGGCCCTACAGAGAAGACAGCACCACCTCACAGAATTGTGTGAAGCGCATGACACTTGGAAAAGAAAAAGGATATTTAATACAACGTTGCTGAAACGTAGTCAGGACTTTGCTATTTTGCTTTGCTTTTTTATTTTTCATTCTAAATGAGAAAAAGAGAACTTATCATCAAGAACTATCCAGATTTTTCCAGTTAAATCTAATATTAAATTTGGCTTATACAAGAATCACATCCATGAGTGCTTTTTGTCTAAATTCTCTCTCACTTTTATTCTCTTTTTAGATTATGTGGAGTTATCACCATAGTCTCATAACTCCCGTCTTCTGTTGACACATTTGCCAAAGGCAAGAGAGGACTTTAAAATATTCAGTTAAAAATAAAAAAGGTCAACATTTATTTTTAACTAGATCTTTTCTTTCCAGCAAAAAGAGAAAAGGAAAAGACGACAGAGGCAGACACATCCTGGCTATACTTGAAACTAAAGACTTGCATGCATAACACTGTCCACAACGCTATGAAGTTTACATTTACAAGATATTAATAATGCAAATCACCGTGCAAAATAATATCAACATGTGAATAAGAAGAGCATCTGAAGAGCAACACCCACGAGACCAAAAAAAAACCCTACTAAACGAGATGATGTAATTGTATTTTCTTCTTGAAAGTCCTGCAGACACTTGTGCGCAGCAGTGCTTTCAGCTCCCTGTATTGTTAGGTAGTTCCTATAAATACCTTCTCACACAGACTCCCTATAGATACTCTCTTTGCTTTCAAAGTATAAATCAGTACAATGGGAGTCAGACAGAGGAAATGATTTATTGATGGTCAAGCAGTGATGGTGAAGCAGTACAAAGAACATCCCTCCTTCCATGTCCCACAGTTAGATCAATATGCTGTGTGCTTTCTTTTTTCTTAAAAGTACTTTAATTCAAGCTCATAAGATGATTGCGACAAATAACAAATCTGCTTCCATAATATAACATTTCTCCAAACATATGTACGGCAAATGCATCGCTCATCTGGAGTATTCTGTGTTCGTGAATCAGACGGTCTATTTGTTCTCGCACATTCTCCAAAAACACCCTTCTTACCTCATCATATCCAAAGAGAGCTGCATAGAAATTTTCTACCATACTTCTCATATCTTCCTTTAGAACAACAGAATTAATCTGAAAAATAAACCAGAAAACCATCTGTGTAGGCGCTAACGAGGAGGTGATGAGAAAAATATTATCTGTTTCTTCTTTGGCTACTCAGAGTGAAATTGTGCCTTGGCCCACATCGGTTCGGACCTGGCTGGAAGTAATGATGTCAGTGCAGTCAAACATTTTTAGAACAACGTGCAACACAGCTCCGCTAATTCTGTACACAAAGGAAAGTCAGTGTTACTCAGAATATATGAATGGCAGAAAAATCCTCAGCCAACAGTTGACGTACAGCTATATGAGCAGAGAAAAAAAGCCGCAGCTGGGGAAAGTGAAGGCCAGGCTGTCCTTTCAGGGGCAGCATAGGCTAAGATAACGAAGACTTCTTTGTATTTTAACTATGAAGCAGGTTTTCCAGACCTTGACTCGTTCACACAGGGCTTTTAGAAACTCAAGAGGTTTTGCAACCTTTTTTTCCAAAGCATGGACTCCAGAGCTGGATGTGCTATTACGGTAAAAGTACTGTAACGCTAAAGATAGAGGCACCATCCCTACCACTACTACTTAGTTGTCAATATTGACTTTATCGTTCAGGAATCGCATGAATTTTGTTTCTACAGCATCTCGCTAGAAGCTCAGACTTACTAGTTTTTGACTATGACTAAATTTCTTTCAGAGTTTGTGATCCAGCTACGTCCCCCTATGCTGTAAGTGCGACTCAGTCCAAGTTCCACACTGACTTTTCACTAAATTTAACCGTTGCTTAAATATTTGCTGGTTTGGACATTGGCTTGCAGAACTGACCCCATGTGAGCTTAAGATGGAACCAAAAGAGATCAACTGCTAGGTCCAGCGTGATGGCTGAAATAGCTTGCCTGCATCTCCCTCACACAAACTGTCTATTCCTTTTGCCTGTATTTTTTTACTTCTATCAACAAAATGAGCTAATAAACAGTCCCTCTCCTGAGGGCTAAGCTACACTGCAATTGGTAAAGCTTCTTCTTTGTATTGACTCTCCTGAGAGATACCAAGCATTTCTTATGACAGCGTCAACCACATGTCCTAAATACTTTCTTAGTATCCTTAAGAGTACTCATCTCAGTAATTATGCAACAGCTTTTCTATCAAAACATGAATATTTTTTTTGCCACGCTAGCAAATCTCCAATTCAAATAGTCTTCCATTAAACCACTATCTTTTTTCATCTGTTGATTTTTATAGAAATGCATATAGTGCAAACACAAGGAAAATTCCTTTTATGTCAGTTACTCATATTTTTCCATTAATATAAACTATTAAAATTCATGCAGATATTTTATAGGCTATCAAGATTTGGAGACTGGTTATTACTGAGTGTTTAAAAAAAAGAACTAAACATAAGAAATCAGAGGGTTAAATGATGACTGCAACTTCTGTAATGACTTAATTAAATTTTTATTGAGTACATAAACTATGATGTCATTTCTACCCAACCATGCTCAAATTTTCTATGCATGTCAGAGATCGTGGTTTTTCTCAATAGAACATACTTCTAAATAAGCTGCACTTCTACAGCTCTAATAAGGGGGAGCAGGTCTCATGTAACACACTCAATAAATTATCCTTCCATTTTAAACAAACAAATTCCATGAGTTATTATATATTTGCCACGCACTTTTTATGACATAATAAAAATGTTACCTCAAGGATTACTTAACACATACTACAAATGTTACAGCAGGCAACTGCAAGGGGCAAAGAAAACAAATAGTCCCATTACAGAGACAAGTCCTGGACTATACATCCCTAGGGAAGCAGCTTTCTACACTAAAAACAAAGAGCAGCAGCTTTAAGTTAGCAAGAAGTAGACCGGCGAAGGAGATAACCAAGTTAAACAAACACAGCAATAAATACATCTTAAAAGACAAACAGGTTAAAATATAAAATATGACTTTGGGGATGAAGCGGTATCTTAGGCAGTAAAATTCCATTTAAAGGAATATTGCAGTTTCTGAAGAATAAAACTGGCATTCGTTAAGTACAAACATTGTAGGAAAAAATCCTTCTTTATAAAACAAGAAAAATTAATAAATCCAAATCAGCATTTGTTGGAAACACTTCCTCTTTTTAAGCTTGTACATGTTCTTACCACTGGCAAGTCTCATGATCTAGTTGGTCATGATTCTGCTGACTCTTCCCCAGTTTGTTATTAAGAAGAAAAACTGCTAGACAATTCCAAGTGAGTAATTGCTAATAACAAGAAAAAAAAAAATCAGTAACATCTGGAGCTCTTCTAGGGACTTAGCCCCTTTGCCTTCTTTGGAACAACCCATTGCAGAGCTGTCACCAGACTAAATTTATATACCATCGCCTAAATTGACACACAGAACTATCTTAGTTCAAAACAAGGAATACATTTGTGATACATCTCTCACATTTACAAGACCTTTAAAAAAAAGGAAGTGTACAGCTAATGCATCTTCCTACTAGGTCACAACTTTTCACTGAAAGACTCCATGATCCCACATTCTGCCTGCAAGACGACTCCAGCATACGACTACTGCATTTTCATATTATATTGCAGTACGAAACTCATCTTCGGCCTCAACGAGTTCAATATGCATCATTTAAGAGCCAACTGGTGAGGCTTATTGCTATATCAGACAATTTACAATATCAAGTCTCAGTTAATGTTTTGTATTCTAACAACGCTTCTAGGAAAGTAAGAGCACACTGCTTTATTGTATGTGCTGGCCACATATGAAAATATCGTATGTATGGACTCAGTTTTTAAAGTGAAAGCTACTATAGGATTAGTCCATGTTAGTGTCTTTTGTTGGATTGAGAGCATTCTTTGTAATGACTCTCCTCCTCGTCCCCACTTACCATGCTCTGGTTTACACTGCAGAGAAGCCTCAGCATGCACCTGGAAAACGTGCTCTACCTGCTAAGAGGCATTCAGCCCACGATCAGCCTAGAACCAGGGCAAGGGAAAGCTCATCCCTGCGGAGCAGGGACACTGGATCACCAAATGTGTTCCTGTCAGACCTCACTAAATGTGATGCAGACATAGCTGGGATGTCCACAGGCTACGCTATTTGAAAGCACTTTAACAGGAGTTTCTTTCTGTCACGGCTTTTGCCAGCATGTGCTGCACCCTTAAGCTACTTTAACACATTAATCCATCCATGGACTAGAAAGCCAGAAGGGACACTTCTAATGGCACCTTGTACAAGCGCTAGTCATTGAATTTCATGCAGCAATTCCTCTCTCTAGGCCATAAGTTATGGTTGAACTAGATTTTTTTTATTAAGAGATTTCAGCCAGAAGAAATGATTAGATCATAGAACCTGACCCTCTGCATATCACAGACCATTACATTTCACTGAGTTCCCTCTGTACTAAGCTCAGTAAGTTGTGTTTGGCTAAAGCATATCACCCTCACAGCTGAACATGTGTATCTCATTTCAGATTTGAATTTTCTGGCTTAAGCTTCCAACCCCTCATTTTCATTATACCAT